CAGGGGTGGGCGGGGCCTGGGCCGCCCGACGCGAGGACGGGGGCGGGCGGGGCGCCCTCCCCACGGTGACGTCAGGCCCGGTTCGCGGCGCGTTGCCATAGAAGCCGCGTTTCCATCCCTGCGGGCTTCCGGGGGCCGCCCCCTCCCATTCAACTTTTTCCTCAATGGGGGGAGGGGGCGGTGCAGGGCTGTCCCCGCCCCCTGTGATTCCGCGGCCCCTGCCTACTCTGGGCCTCGGTTTACCTTTCCGTGGTGCCCACGCCCACGTGGCCTGGCGTGCTGCCTCTCCGGTCGCTGCACCCCCTTGGCTGGGCACCTCTCCACTCTCAGCCCCCGCCTCAGGTGTGTGCGTTTCAGGCCCGCGCAGTGGGAAGGGGCCAATGGCCGCAGCACCCAACCGGGGTGGGGTTCTTCTAGGGCTCCCGGGCAGGGCTGTGACCCTCGGACCCCAGGGCTGGGCGCCAGGCAGCGCCCTGAGGAGTGAGTTCCCCGTCAGTAGACCAAGTGCCCCCTGCTCTGCAACGTGAAGACACAGCCCCCGTGATTCAGCGGGTGCCGCCATCTACTCCCTCCTTCCGCATCTCCCACCCAGCCCTGTAGCGGCCACCTGGGTCACAGCCCTGACCTCCGGGGACCCGGCTGCGTGGGCAGGGGGTTCAACCTGCGCTGTCCCACCCACACTTCCACCCTGCGGTCCTCCGGGCCTCCGGTCCTCCGGGATCAGCCTGACCTGGGTATCCTACCTTCCTGGCGTGGGCGTGCGATGATTTGGGGGTGACAGGGTGGCAGGAGGGACAGAAAGGCCTTAGCAAGCTGCTCCCAGGACACTCCTGGGACTGCACCTGTTTCCCTACCCCATGGTCGGGACTCCTAGAACTGAGGCTTGGGAGGGCAGGGTCTTGGGCTATAAGAAATCAGCCTGGGGATGGTGGTCGCTAATGTAACAATCACCCCAGTGCTGTGGAGCAAACGGTATTTCTCTTCGGGCCTCGGTTTTCTCATCTACCAAATGGGAGGGTAATTAGTTCTCTTAGGTGGCTGCGTTAAGCGAGGAAATACATGTGAAATGACCTTCAGTGTTGTTATGATTGTGTGTCTTTGCCCAGCCCCAAAGTGGATGAAGGTGGGACTCGCCACCTGGCCAGGCCCTCAGGGAGCTCCAGGTGGGCAGGGGTGGGAGATGCAGACAGGGGAAGTTCCCAGGCAAAGCAGGGGCGCTGGCTAGGGGTGTTCCTGGGTAGGGCACGGCCCGGAGGCTTAATCCCGATGGTCAGGGATGGGGAGCGCTGGAATGCAAGGCCGGGCAGGCCGAAGGGAGTCCACGCAGGGCTGGGGTGGAGCCAAACCGGGAGGCCTGGCGCCATACCCCAGGGGGGGCGGGCTCGGGTCGGGGGTCCTCAGGCTGGGCCCCCCACGCGTGGGCGGGCAGATGGAGCTGCTTCCCCCTTTCTGGGGCTGGGGAAACCGTGGCGCAGAGCCTGCAGCCAGGTCTCCCTGGAGACTGAGTCCCTGGGTTTACCTGCAGCCCACTTTATTATTTATTTATTTTTCCGGTACGCGGGCCTCTCACTGTTGTGGCCTCTCCCGTTGCGGAGAACAGGCTCGCTCCGGACGCGCAGGCTCAGCGGCCATGGCTCACGGGCCCAGCCGCTCCGCGGCATGTGGGATCTTCCCGGACCGGGGCACGAACCCGTGTCCCCTGCACCGACAGGCGGACTCTCAACCACTGCGCCACCAGGGAAGCCCCCTGCAGCCCACTTTAGAGCCTAGAACGGAGAGGCTCCACCCAGGGCACACAGGCTGGCAGCCCCGTGCCCACACCCTGCAGGACTTCCGGCCTTGGGTACCGGGAAGTGGCCGGCCCTCCCTCCCCCGCTAGGCGGCTTCCTGCCCACCCTCACCCCAAAGCGGGGAGGGGGCGTGGGAACTGTTACGGGACGCGCCCCTTCCCCCCGCTGGGCGCCCTGGGAGCACGTCCCGCCTCCCACTCTCTGGGGTGGGGGGCTACCCCAGCATCCAACCTTACCCTCTAGAGACAGATCACCCCCTACCGTACTCAGCCCACTCTGTGACAGTCGAGACCACCCCACCCCCCGAGATGAGCAGGCCGGAGGTTCACTCGTGTTTCATTTTGTTTATTCCTTGAAATCACGGTGTTTGTGTAGGCTTTTTTCTTTTCCAATTTCATGTTTTCATACAGGAAACTCCCGCAAGGTGCTGGGACACCCCACAGCCCGACCCCCCGAGGGTGGGTAATGCTTTCTTGGGGGGGGCCCTGGAGAGGGCAGAGAGGGGTGGGCGGTTCCTGCCTGGGGCCTCCACCCTCAGACCAGCGGAGGCACAGACGTTATTTAAAAATCGTTAAAAAAAAACCCCATCAGAACACACATTAAATAGATATCCAAGACAGCGCTTCAAAAACAAACCCGCCCCTTTTTTTCTTTCTTTTTTTTTTTTTTGGAAAAACGAAAACAAAAACAAAGATCCTTGACCCCTACCCTCTGACCCCTCCCTGCCCACCCCCCCCCCACAAAAAATTTACAGAGCTACAGTTAACACAAGATGTTCACATCTGAAACCATTAACTTTAAACACATAATGGGGGCAGGGTGAGGACTTGGGGTTCATCTAGGAGGGAGGGGCAGGCAGAGGGCGAGGGGTGTTGCGCAGCACAGAGGGGCGGGGCCAGGACGAGACTGACAGGTGTGGGGGGGTCAGGGCCCAAACATCTCCTTTATCAGTAAAAAATAAAAGTGAATGAAAAAACCCTCCACCCCACCGAAATGGCCCCAATAAGGGGGGAGAGGTCTGTCCCTCTGCCCTGGGGGATGCCCCTGGGTCATGGGCATGAGTGGGGAGGGTCCAAATTAGACCAGCAGCGAACCCCCCCCCAAGGGGGTTAATGCTACACAGCGTTGCCCCTCCTGGGGTTTCACAGCTCAGCACCCCCTCCCCTCCCCTCCCAGCTGCCGGAGGGCCCCCAGACACAGTCCACAGGCCCAGATCCCTCAGGTTGGGTGGGGAAGGAGGGCTGGGGGCGTCAAGCCCGCCCCCCCAGCCATTGCTCTCCGTATTTTTCAAGAGATTCCCAACCACTATTGGCTCAGTCAGAAAATTAATAGTCTATAAATACCCCAAGCTCAGAAAAACGGGGTGGGGCGGTGGAGTAGCGCTGAAGGAAGTCGCACAGTGCGTGGACAGGGTGCAGGCTGGCAGCGGGCACCTCCCCTCCCTCCCTCTCCTTTCCTGGCAGGAAAGGGTCGCCCCCCCCCCCACGCACCCCAGCCCACACCGAAAGGCAGGCTCTGGCCAGCCTCTCCCCTGAAACGGCTTTTCTTTTCTTTCCCAGGAAAAAGAAAAACGGAAAAGGAGAGACCAGGAAGAGAAAAAGAGTATGGATGTGGAAGAGAAACAGTCCCTGGCGGTCAAGGTTGCACCTGGCGGTAAAGGTCGCACCTGCCGAGTTGAGTTGTTTTAGGGCCAGGGTTTGTGGTGGGGGCCTCTCCTCTCCACGGCCCCCTCCCCTGTCTGTAAAGTGCATAATGAGGCATCTACATTTTTGACTTCAACCTGAAAAGGGTGGGGAGGGCGGCAGAACGGAAGTGGGGGGCGGCTTCCTTGTCTCCGCTCTCAACCATCTGGAAAGACTGCTACATATTTGGAGCTTGGGAAGGTGGGCGGGAGGGACCCGGCCAGGTCGGGGATGAGGATGGGAGATGGAGGGAGGGGCGGGCAGTGTGAGCCAAACCGAGGAGGCAGGAACCCAAGTCCATGGAGAGTTCGGAAAACCACGGTAGGAAGTGAAATTAAAAAAAAAAAAAAAGGTACTGTAGAACCTAGTTGCATGGCAGGAATAAAGATGTAGATGGGGCCACGCTCACAGGCCACCCTGGGCGAGGGACAGGGCTCCTAGGCCACCACGAACTCTGACTTGATGTCGGGGTTCACTTCTGGCTTCCAGACGGCGTCCTCGAAGTCGAGGCCCAAGCCAGCTGCCTCACTGGGGCTGCCGCCTCCCCCGCCGCCGGTACTGTCGCTGCGGCCGGCCTTGCGGCTGGGCGGCCAGTGGTAGGGGCCCCGGGCGTCGCGCCGGGCCTTTCTGCGGAGCCGTTTCTGCTGGAGCAGCAGCTGCAGGCGCTCCACCTTACAGCGGGTGGCTCGGTTTTCTGTCTGCCGCAGCCGGTCCCCTGCAGAGGCGGCAGTGACCATGACCGTGAGGGCCCCTTGGAGGCCAGACCCCCAACCAAACGCGAGGACCCCCAGCAGATGGGCATCAGGCCCGGTACAGCTCTCGTGGACGCTCCCGCCAGCGAGTGAGTGGGTCAAGAAGGTCTGCTGATCCTTTAGGTCGTTAATTCCACGTCTGCTGAACAGCGGGCTGTGAGCTCCATGAGGGCAGGCGCTGGCCTGAGCCAGGCACTGGGGACACAGCTAGCATAAAAATGAACTGGAGCTTGAACCCCTTAGGGCTATTTCTGTGACCCAGGATAGGACTCAGGCTGTGCCTTGGTTTCCCCTTTGAGACCGGGCCTGGGGGCCCACGTTCTACAGGACTTCGGAGGCGTCCGGAATAACGAGATCGCTGTGGTAGTGGGGCGGCACAGGCTGCCCTTGAGCGGGGGGAGAAGCTAACCCCCTCCTCAGCCTGACTGGCCCATTCACAGAGGCCCCAACGCACCATCTGGAGAAGGTGCCCGAGGGGGGCGAGGAGGAAGTGAGGATGGACCCCCCCCCTGGGAGGGCACAAAGATGCTGTGTGCCCCCAGCACACACACTCCCTTCTCTACATGCGCCTGCAAAGCAGGGCGAGTGGCAGCTGGCGGCCCCCTCCCCACCACCAGCGGCTCAGCTGCTCTGAGAGGCGCACAGAGGGGCCTTGAGAGACCCAGGATGGGGCGGGGTGGGGGCGGACACTCACCCGGGGGCTTGCACAGGCGGGCCTGGCTCAGGGAGGCCGGGGCTGCGGCCGCCAGCTTCTCGCAGGAGGTAGTTTTGGGGGCGAGGTCTGGGGCACACTGGGCGTGGCACCGCAGCTGGGTCAGCGATGGGGGCATGCCCTGGTAGTGCCGCGTGGCACTCAGGAGGTCATTGAGGATCTGCAGGATGGTGCCGATGTCCCGCCTCGGCCGCCCGCTGCTGTCCTGGCAGTTGGGGTGCAGCGTACCTGCGGGAAGGGGTATGGATGAGGACCCCAGTGGTGGACATAAGGCCTTGGCAGTGCCCGGGTTCCATGTGTGCAGGCGGAACCCCTGAGTGACACGGGCACTCGCACCCACCCATGAGGACACATGGCCTGCTGTATGGCCAGGCACATACGTGGAGATCCCGGGGAGTGTGTCCCACGCCTGGCGTGGGTTCATGTGACTGCTCGCAGGGCACACCATGACACCTACCAGAGAAGGTCCCTGAGAAGACCCCCGGGGCGTGGTTCACGAAGCTCTCGATGACTGCGCCAGGTTTGCGGGAGCGGGACGTGGGGCTGCCCCCGGTGGGGGACGTGGGGCTGGCACCGGCGCTGGCGGGGGGGGAGCAGTCCATCTGCTGATGGGGGAGGGAGGCACATGAGCTTTGGGGTTCAGGGTCAGGGGATCACCCACCAGACCAGCACCAGCCCAGGGTCTGGGGACGGCCCTTGATACAAAAGACGTATCCAGGGCTCTGATGTTCTCCCACCACATCCTCCCCCAGACTCACCTCGGGGCAGGTGGCAGAGGCCGAGTGGGAGCGGAAGGAGCCGGCCGTGACAGGGGAGGACGTGGGCGCAGGGCCGGTGGGCACTGGGGGGACGCGGGTGGCACTGGACACTGGCCGGCAGGGAGAGGACACAGGGGTGGTCGTCACGCTGGGGTCTCCACGGGTGGCAGCGGCGGCGGCAGCCAGCACGTGGCGGTGCTGCAGTGGGGCGTGCTGGGCTGCGAGCTGCAGCTGGACGAACATCATATGGTCACCCACGCGCAGCGCCAGGGTCAGCGGCGAGCGGCCCGACAAGAAGTCACTGACCTGCAGAGAGCGGCCCGTCAGCCCAGGGCTCCAGCCTGTGGTGCCCCCAGCCCGGCCCGGCCCGGCCCCCCGCGCTGCGTGACCTGGGGCCTCTCGCCGCCCCTCTCTGGGCTCTGGGGTCCCTGTCGGTGCCACGGATGCTTAAATAAAATGAATCGGTATTTCCGGAAGCTGCCTCCGCCAGCCCAGCCCGGGCTGGGCGCCGCTGGGGGCTGTGGGGGGACAGAGGCGGGTGAGACGGGGGCCTGGCCCGCCCTGGCCAGCTTGGTTCTTTCAAGGGGAAACCGAGGCCAGAGGGGGCGGGGCCCAGCCAGCAATCACTGCTCTCAAAGAACCCTCACCTCACACCTCTACCCCACCCTCTCTCGCCTGTGAACACTGCAGGGGCCTAGCTCAGGCCCCCTCCCAGCTAAGCCACTGAAGCAGCGAGTGGGCGAAATTCCTGGACAAATTCTTGTCCTAACCTTTGCTTTCTCAAGATAAATATTTATCTGTCCTGGGCGGGGCCGAGGCTGAGAGGGAGGCGTTGCCTCTGCGGGCGCTGTGGGGGCCCTGACCGGTTTCCTGGGGCCCCGAGCCTCCCAGGGCCTCAACACAGCCCATTCAAACGTGAACCTCCAGTCTGGCAGCCCCTTCGCAGCGGGCGAGGGGTGCATACGACCCCCATCTGCACTGGACCCCTCCTCTGGGGCCCGGCCAGTGCCGTGCTCTCGCCGGGCAGGGATGGGGCGGAGGTTTCTGAGAAGTGACACAGGCCGCGATGACTCAGAACCACCCCCTCCCTGCTGGCAGCGGCTGGCGTAACCTTCCCTGCTTGGGGGCCATGGGGAGAAGGCAAAGGAGGCGGGCCGAGCGCAGCCCCCACCCCGCAGTCCCTCTGCACACGCCCTCCCCAGCCCCAGAGATGCCCTTTGCAGGAAAGGCCTGGGGTGGCTTCCCAAGAGCAGCTGGGGTGTCCCCCCCCACACTCCACCCTGCCACTTCCTCCCAGGGGAGGGTGAACGGGCAGGCATGACTCGGTGCCAGGCGGAGAAGCAGCTCTGGGAGCCCAGTCACTCTGCCCAGAGCCTCCCATCTCCCTCCTGACGTAGACACCCTGCAGCGGATGTGAACCAAACACGCCCAGGGGCCCCCTGCCAACCACAGCCCTCCCAGGAGCAGGGAGCTCAGTTCACATCTGCCCCAGGAAAGCACACGCCAGCCCCACCTGACTCCAGGGACCCTGGCTCTCCCCCCACCCCACTGCTCCTCCTGACGCAGACCACCCAGCTCCTGGGTCCTCCCGCCCTCCTCCGCGCCAGCTGGCGGGTGAGGGCAGGATGCTACACGCCGGGAGGGGGCAAGGTCTCAGGGCAGGAGGAAGGGAAGCCGCTGAGCAGGTTCCTGAGGCCGGGGACCTGCCACCCCCACCCTGGCAGCGGGCAGATAGCTGAGGCCTGTGTCACCCTCCTGGGAGGAGGGCCCTGCTGCCAGAAAAATGAGGAAAGAAGGGGGAAAGAAAAAAGAAAAAAGCTGCAACAAAACCGGGAACCCAGTGTGGGCCAGCCCCAGCCTTCCTCCTCATCGCCCTCCCAGGCGCTTGCTAAATATTTTCCTAACATCCTGTCTGGTCTGTGCTGGCCCCAGGGACTGGGCGCCCCCGCCCCCTCCCCCTTTTGGGGCAGAGAACAAAGGGCAGAGGGAGGAGGAGGAGGGGTGACTTCCCACCCCTCGCAATGGGGTCACGGAAGGCGGAAAGAGCATGACCCAGTCCCAACCCTACCCCCCATCAGAAATGTTAAAAAGGTCGCTCTGGGGAAACCACAATGGGGTGGCGGTGGGGGGGGGTCGGAGAGCACCTCAGCAAGGCTGGTGGAGCTGGGGACTCAGGCCCGGTGGTGTGGGAGCATGGGCCAAGGTCACCCCGCAGGCAGGCTTGTGAAAGCTAGGCCCCCTCCCCCATGGCGGCCACCGTGGGAGAGAAGGCTCTCAAGGTCAGGTGGTGAGTGCTGGGGGGGCGGGGAGGAGGAATAGGAAGCTGGGTGACCAGGCCAAGCTGGCACGAAGGCGGAGCGGCGCGTCCCCTCCCCTCCTCACAGGCCTGCTGGGAGCACAAACAACCCCCAGGCTCTCCAGAGTGGCCGGGCACTGGGCCTGCTGCCCCCAAGGGCCAGGAGGGGGCCGGCGCGGGTCTTACCTGGGTCTCAGTCAAGCTCTCGAGGGCCTGCATCACAGACTGTTCTGGCCTGGAGGCCTGAGACTACAGAGAGAGGAAGAAGTGACCCTGAGGGCGCACCCGAGCTTCGGGGTTGGGAGGGCCCCGCTTGACGGGTGGGGTGGGTGGCCCTGAGGGGAAGGGGTCCAGTGTGTGATAGGGACTGTGCTCGCAGGGGAGGGGACTGCCTGTCAGTGTGGGGCCTCGGAGCGCACTGCCCCAGCCATTTACCATGAGGCCCGCCTCCACGGTGGGCACGAGCGTCAGCTTGCTGCCATCCCCCACGCCGAACTCCTGCAGCTTCCCCGAACTGAGCCGGCTGAGTGGGGAGGAAGGAAGAGGGTGAGGCTACACCGAGACAAGGAAGGGGCTCGGAAGCGGAGTCCGCGGGGGAGGGCTGGGCTCGTGGGGTAGAGACAGGAGTCCATCACCCCCACCCCTTCCTGGCTTTCAGATCCAGAGACCTGAGTGTGTGCGTGCTTGAGGTCAGACCCTGGGAGCCCCTGCTGACGGTGCAGACCCCCTCCTCCAAAGAACCCCAACTCCGGACTGGGGGTACTCCCTCTGCGCCTCAGGGAGGCACGTTTTCCCCATCTAGGGCCAGCGAGCCCCTTGGCACCCTCCCCCAACCCTGGGGCTGCCCCCCTGTAATTCAACCACCGGGGCCTGGGCTGTCCCTGCGGGCCAAGCGCTTAGCCTTTCCGGGCTTTGCCGGGCGGGCCTCCCCTCCTCCCTCCCTCCCTCCCTCCCTCCCTCCCTGGCGCAGGCCGCCGCCGCGGCCGCCGCTCAGACAAAGGAGACCCTCCCCCTCCTGCCCCTCCCCCACAGGGGCCCCTCCGCTGGGGATGGACACTGCGTGTCCCCGGAGGCCCGCGGAGGGAGGGCTCCCGGCTTGGAGGCGATTTAAATGGC